ATTACTTTTTGTTTTAAAAAATATATTAAACAAGGACAGAGCCCTTATAAGGTCATAGTTGGAATAATTTTTCAGAATTACTTTTTCATTTACAGAAAATATAATTACTGGCTATAACTACAGAGTAGTGGCTGGCCGACTGTTGCTATAGTTATAATAGGTAACTGAACCACAAGTCTGTATCCCTGCAGCGAATATACAGATAACTAATGGAGAACTGACACTGGCTGTGGCTGAAGCTGTGATTATCATAGGGGAACAGCATGGCTATAATTATGGCAGCGGTTATGGCTGTGGCAGTAATGATTACCATGTGACACATGTAGGGGTTGTGCAGATGTAGGCAAAGTGTTGTAGTGAAGCTATTACTGTTGTAGAGTTAACCTGAACCCAGATGCAAGACTCAACAAAGTTTAGCACAGTTTAATGTGCCAGATGAATGGAGATGAGCAAGAAGAGAAGAGTGATACAGGCAACATGAACAGATCCATGAGCTGGTGAGTGGTCTGGTGTGGCAAGAGAGCGAGGCAGGAAACAGTCCAATCCAAAACACAACGAAAATAACTCAGACTAGATTGTGCATGCCTTAGTGTTAGCACCATGATGGAAAATTTAACTAGGTGGCAAAAACGGAAGAGAAAAGCCAGGGTTTTATACTGCATGAGCTGGATGAGTGGATGAGTCGCAGGTCTGAAGGCAGCAAGAAGAGGTACAGCGCCATGCCCACACAAAGACACACTCAAACAGAGAGAAAACAAACAGGGACTAAGACTAAGAAACACAAGGAAGAGCAGAAAACAGATGGACAGACAGTGGGAATGAGGGAGAGTGTTACTATCTATACAGTCCTGTTCACCATTATTGGCACCCTTCATTTTTTGCATAACCTCTACAATATCTTCAGAAATAAATAGAAATGTACCAAATTTATATCATCAGGATCTTTTCAATTGGAGGTCCAAAGTAATTTAACAAAGAAAATTGTTTTTTCAACTTACATATTGTAATTTCAAAGAAGAAACAGAAAAAAACAGCATGTGCAGCAATAATGGCACCGCTCTTTCATATTTGGTTGCACAACCATTGGCAGCGATAACAGCCTCCAAACGTTTCTTGTAGTCAGCCATCTATAAGCTTCTTGCACTTCTCTTCTCTGGTATTTTCTCCCACTCTTTCTTTGCAAATTGTTCAAGCTCTTGAATGTTTGCAGGTTTCTTTTCCCCAATGGCAGATTTCAGCTCATACCAAAGATTTTCAATCGGATTGAGATCAGGACACATTGCTGGCCATTTTAAAACAGTCCATTTTTTCCTTTTCAACCATTTCTGCGTGCTTTTGGATGTGTGCTTTGAGTCTTTGTCTTGCTGGAGGACCCATGATCTTCAACTCAAACCAAGTTTTCTTACACTGGGTAGGACAATTCACTCTAAAATCTCTTGATAATTCTCTGATTTCATGATTCCTGTGATACGGTCAAGGCCTCCAGTACCAGATGCAGCAAAGCCACACAGCATTATGGATCCTCCACCATGCTTAACTGTTGGTAGGGTGTTCTTTTCCTTTTAGGCTTCATTGCGCCGTCTGTAAACAAACTGTTGGTGTGCATTGCCAAAAAGCTCTATTTTTGTTTCATCTGTCCACAGAACATTTTCCCAGAAGGATTGTGGTTTGTCCAGGTACTCTTTGGCAAAGATTAGTCGTTCCTTTTTATGTCTTTTTCTCAGCAATGGTGTGTTCCTTGGCCTTCGCCCATGAAGCCCTGTTTGGTTTAGTGTGCGGCGTATGGTACTTCTGGAAACCATGACCCCAGACTGTTCCAGGTTGGCCTTCAGGTCTTTGGATGTTTGACGTGGTGTTTTGTCCACCATTCGCACCAACCTTTGAAGACTTCTCTCGTCAAATTTTCTCTTCCCCCCACGTCCAGGGAGGTTCTTGACAGTTCCATGCTTGGCAAACTTCTTAATAACATTACGCACTGTTGAAACAGGGATACCAAGGTCTTTGGAGATGGCCTTATACCCTTTGGAGGTCTTGTGTTTGCTAATTATCACACTTCTGATGTCCTCAGACAGCACCTTTGTCTTCACCATTGCGACGAAGGAACAGGGGATAACAGATGGCTTTTTAAAACACGGAAGTCATCATTCATTGACTAATTCATGTCACATGGGACACAGACAATTTATCACAGGTGATTCTCATTTGTGATTTACCACAGGTGAGTCACAATGTGTTTCCATACTGATTTACAGCAAAGGGTGCCAATACCAGTGACACAGCAAGCTTTAAGTTTTTCTGTTTTTTCCTCCCATTGTTAATTGTTTTAAATTGTTGTTTATCATCTGCTCTTTTGTACCAAACACAAGTTCTCTATAGAACAGAAATGTTTCACTTGACTAATTTTTTTCATTAGATATTCCACATTATGTACTTAAACTTCATGGATGCCAATAATGATGAGCAGGACTGTAACACAGGAAGTCACTTACTGGTGCACTAGTTTGGGGGGGGGGGGGGGGGGGGGGAAAAAAAGGGGGGGGCCCACCAAAGGAAGGAGCTAGTTTGTAGCAAGTTAATTTGGAAGTAATACAGGGAGAAATAGCTTCCTGTAAATATTGCCTGTCATATTATAGCAAGTTCCCTTGGGATATGTGATGTCTTCAAATACATGCCTGAATTTGAGCGTGCAATGTTTCAATCATGGCGATCAGATTTTAACAACATTGACGAAGAAAACTAGTAGCGGCTATGGTGCAGAGGCAAGGCGGGTCATCCCCTAATCGGAAGGTTGTTGGTCCAATCCCCGGCTCCTCCTGCCACATGTAGAAAGTATACTGAACCCTGAATTGCTCTGTGAATGTATATGAATTTGTTCGTTTCTGTTCAATGGGCTTTGCTATCGCTGTGTGAATGTGTGTGAAAGGGCAAATGTGGCATGTTGTGTAAAAGCGCTTTGAGTGGTCAAAAGACTAGAAAAGGCGCTATACAAGTACAGGTCAATTTACCATCTACCATTTACCATTTAATTGAGATCCTGGATCCTGCAGAGGAATGATAACAGCCAGCAATGCAATAAAATCCTCCAGGAGCTTGCTCACAAAATGCTTGACCTAGAGCCTGCCTTTGTAATTGAACAATGGGCAAAAATACTCAGCACTGCCAGACACAGCCTCCAGGACTCATAACAGTATGAAAACCTGCAACCAACTTTGAGATAAGTCTCTTACCTTCCCAGAGACAATGGATGAGGCATCTGCATTTGTCCCTTCGGAAGAACATCATTATTGACTTAACCCAGATTCAAGCTGTTCAGAGAATACCTGTGGCCCATATGTGTGGCTGCAAAATGTCAGTCCGTTATGACAGCTATCCTGTGAATTTTAATGTGTGGGTAATGGACATAACCTATTCCAGTCTAGGGAGAATTAGTGTGTATATGCTATTCACACACAATTTGAATGTTTAAATCTTATTTCTTGTATAATGTCAGCGACAAGGGTTTCTCATGTAAAACCTTGCACAAGATTTAAATAGTTCAACAGGTAGTTCTACACAATACAATCCTGGTTAGATCATTTGGGGAAAATACCATAAGACAATATCAAGGAGGACAGTTTAAAGGAAGAGCTGTTAAGTGTGTAGAAAGATTCTAGAGTCTAGGAATCTCTTAGCTTAATTGTCAGACATCCATTTACACATTTTATCGTATGCAGTTGTCATGATTTAGAAGCTGAACCCAAAAACAAACTCAGACTAGTTGTAATGAACACAAAGTCTTATTTCTTTGATGAGATTAAGGGTGATTTACAGGCTGGCTGAAGGCGAGGGTTTGGGTCCAGGGGTTTAGGTGGTAGAGAAAAACCGGTTTGGAGAGCTGGCTACAGGCAAATCTGGTGGCAAAGGAAACCGAAGAATTTGGCAAGCAGGCTGGCAATCTAAAGACTACACTGGCTATCTTGTTCAAAAGAGCTGAACAAGTTAGAACCACTTTTACAAACAATCTGTTTTCCAGTAGCCATAGGAGAACTTGGCGGACGTGCTGGACGTGTGCTGAGAGATCTCTGGAAAAGATCAGGATATAGATGGATAGATAGATCATTATCGACGGAACCGAGGGCTTGTACCTCCACCGCTTAGCCGCTAGCCTGGCCTTCACCTTCGCTCCAGCTCTTCAGCCTCAGTGCCTCCTCCTCAGCTCCTCAGGTATGTGGTGGAAAATGCCGGCTCGTCCCATTGTTTGGAATGAAGTGATGTCCACCGCTATGTTTTCAATAAAAAGCCAATGTATCCATAGAATATATAAAGTTCTACACAGCAAGTGTAGTATAAGGTTTTACAAGTTTTAAAAAACACACTTAAAATACTAAAAACAACACGACACGGACGGAGCTACTGGATAAGCGTCCTGCTCACACCGGTGCAGGAAGAAAAAGGATATCATCCAGATAAAACACAAAATGTTCTTCCCCGGAGTTCTTGTGCTTTCTCGTCTCGAAGGTTCTCATGGATCCTGCTTGACTCCCATTGCTAATATTACTGATATTATTAGGGACCAAACCAGCGACCGCTGGAGGTCCCTATTGTATTTGCTATGTTTCTTATTCTTACCTATTATTATTTTTAGCGCCTTTGACTGCGTTTTTGCCCCCCTGAACATATACGAAAACTCAAATTTATTTGGCAAAGTTGTCAGGCCTGGTGAAAAATTTTATATTCTATGCGTCGCTTTCGGGTCTGCCACTAGGTGGTGCTACTATTGAGAAAAGTATTTTGACTTTTTTGTTACTTAAAGGAGCATTTAACCCGTCGAAACATTAATATTTATTGAAAGTGGGTTATATATGTAGTCGAAATGTAACATACATTTTGAATTTGGTGCCTATTTGACCGAGAAAAGACAGAAAGTGACTTTAGGGCGCATTTGTATTAAAGACAACACCTCCCACAATGCACAGCTCCGCAAGCCGCTCCCACTAACACTATCAAGGACTACAACAATGTGAATGTAAACCATTTATTTACAGAAATATATCAACAACAACAAAAAGAAATATGTTAACAATGACAGTTATAGTTCCTCCTGAGCGTCCTCAACTTCTTGGTGCCCGCAGTACTGGCCATCTGGAGCTGGATATTTCTGTCGGATAGCCTGCACCACATAAGCGGGTAAAACGACACGATGGCCTCGACCCAATCTCTCGCCTTGCAGGACCCATTCCAGAAAGGCTGTTAGGCGATATTGTCTACAAGACATTGAGCACACAGTTAGCGATGCATGGTCTTTGTGTGTAGCGTGCCACAGTAGTTAGCAATGCAACTGCAAGCTGTTTGTGCAGTAAAGAAGCTAATGTTAGTTCAGTTGGCTGACGTTACGTATTAACCGGGAATAACTTTGTGATAATACTTGAACAAATTGTGTACATACATGCCACGTTGTTATAAGACAGAAAATAGAAACACTCACTTTACAGTCAGACGTCCGTGTGTCCGTAGGCGCACAGCGAGAGCACAGGCACCAGCAGTCCGCCCCAGCTCGAGCCAGTCCGGGCTCCTCGTCCGCGACAGGCAGGTCCTCTGCCTCGGCTGCAGAAGCCTCAGCTGCCTCCTGTTCAGCCTCAGCTGCTCTTCGCTATATTGCAGCTCATAAAGGTAGCAAAAATTTCGAAATTTCTTCCATATTAGATAGATTACCATATTCGTAACATCTGGCTCGTCAGCGCCTCCGCTTAGCTTCCAAACAAGATGGCGGTTATATTTTTTAGTTTCTGCAAGTGAAGTCCCACCCACTGCTCTGTAATAGGTCTGTAGCGTGAGTGAAAAAAAATGAGGAAGTAGCGTTTTATAGTCTCACCCCCTCTACAGAGATATGAGTCTTCCCGCTTCCAATGACGCAAAATGATGATTTTTACATCATTGGAAGTGCAACATTAAAATCCTTATTTCTCCCCTCTCAGGGAAAGTGAGGGAATGATGCACGATCATTCAAAAATATGACTGGGGTTCTAATGATACAAAGCTTAATGCAAATGGGTGAAGTGTCCCTTTAATAACTCCCACATCGTTTGTCGCACATTCAAAAACCTTATATCCACGCGTTTGGTGAATGGAGCTGAATCTCCCCATATAGACCCGATTTGCACAAAAATTACCCACCTAATTTGAAAATTTTTTAAATTTCAAAAAATAAGCACTGTTGGGTATTGAACCCTGAAACTGGTGGAAATCAGCCACTACAGGGCTCCGGTCAGAGAACACGCAGTCATCAGTTTGTTTACAGTCTTTACTGCCAGAATGAGTATGGTACAAACGATGCAGTATGATGGTGCATAACAGATTAGTTTCTGAAATAAACACAGAAACACAATTGGGTTATTACTCATAACCAACATTAATATGTGCACTTAATTACTATAAATGCATACTTGCATATACATATATGTAAGTAATAAACACGAACACTAACAGTGAACCACTACATTTCTAAAGTGACAATGAAGCCATGTTACACTTCCACAATAAGACAGCCAAGCTAGCTAAGCTGGCCCGTTAGCTCAACACACAGCTAATACGGTCACAGACTAGTTGCTGGAACAACTCCTCACTGATATTGCAGAAGTTCATCAAACACACTTAACATAAGTCTGGAGTGAGAACTACGTTATATCACCACATTCATTTCACAGTAGCAATAATTATAACTTACATCGTCAGTGACTTCTGCACCAATAACAGCATAAAAGAAATGAGCGAAAAGAGGGAAAACGACCGCTCTGTACTTTCAAAATAAGAGTTGTGGTTTCAAAATAAAAGTCTCTGAACCAAATATCTCTGAACATGAAGAATGCACAACAGCCGCCCCCACATTTGAGTAGCAAATGTGCAATAACAGGAATTCTTCAAGTGTCCTTTGTATCATCCTTGAGGGCAGGTAGCTGTATCAAGCGAGCAACGGGTCTTGTGTAGACTTTACCTTTAACCAGAACCTCTGCGGTTCTGACACATCCGTCCTGGCTAGTGACTGTTTTAACGACCCTCCCGATAGGCCATTGAGCTCTGGGGAGTGATGGGTCAACAATTAGCACAACTGTGTCTACAGCCATGTTCTCTGATGACTTCTGCCACTTCTGTCGTGTGTGAAGAGTTGGCAGGTAGCTCCGTGTGAACTGGATCCAAAACTGGTCTATAAGCACCTGACAGTGGCGCCATCTGCGCCGCCCCATGTCAGCTGGGACATAGGCCACTTGAGGTAGCGAGGCATCACACCGCCCCATGAGAAGGATGTTAGGTCTAATGGGGTCAGGGTCGGTGACATCCGCTGACACATAACCTAGTGGTTTAGAGTTTAGGATCCCCTCAACTTCCACCAAGGCTGTGTATAAGACGTCCTCTGAAATTGCTTGACTCCCCACCGCGACTTTAAGGCCAGCCTTGATTCAACGGACTTCCCTCTCCCATGCACCACCAAAGTGAGGAGCGTTTGGTGGGTTGAACCTGAAGACAATCTGATTTTCTGTCAGTTGTTCTTTCAACTGTGGTTCTATGGCTGCAAAGACTCTGCGGAGTTCCTGTGCAGCACCGCGGAAGTTAGTACCGCAGTCTGACAGAATATCCTTTGGTCGGCCACGTCTGGCGATGAACCGATGAAGAGCAAGGAGGAAGGCATCCACATCCATGGAGTTGAGGAGTTCAATGTGAACAGCACGGGTCGTGAGGCACTTGAAGATGCTACCCCAATACTTTTCTGTTCTCCTACCAATCTTGACTAGGTAAGGTCCAAAACAGTCCACACCTGTTGAGTAAAAGGGTGGGACCATCCATGGGACCTTTGGCTGAGCTCTCCATCGCTGGCAGGATGGGCAGTTGAGTTGGTGGTGTCTGACAGCCTGCCGTCCTCGCAAGATCCAGTACTGTCTTCGCAGTTCTGCAAACACCCGCTCTGTGCCAGGGTGCAACAGACGTTCATCCATGTCCTTTATGAGGAGCTTGGTTGCGGGTTGCTTCGGATCCAACACAATGGGATGAATCTCTCCTATGCTCGAGTCCTGCAGCCTGCGCAGCCTCCCTCCCACTCGGAGGATACATGTTGAGGAGTCCCACTCTGGAGCAAGGCTGGCCAGATGACTGTGGTTTGGCACAGGTTTTTGTGCTGTGAGGGCATTAACTTCTTCTGGAAAGCTTTGGACTTGACACCCTCTCAACAATAGGATCTCTGCGTCTCTGTGACTAATGGGATGGCTATCCACTGCCGCCCCTTGAGCACCCTGACATGCCTTCTGGGTTGCTTCCACCAGCTCCTTCCATGTGTTGAACTGGGAGGCATCGGGAATACTGATTTTGGGTTCTACCACTGTGAAGCTGCAGAAGGTGGTGCCCTTCAACTCTGATGAACCTGCTGTCGCTTGCTCCGGCCTCTTTGGCCAGTGTTCAGCACTCTGGAATGGGGGCCCTTGGCTCCAACGATTAAGCCCAGCCAGAGCCAAGAGTGGCTTACCCCTGGTAATGTCGTCAGCAGGATTGTTATGGGTGTCGACATACTGCCAAGCCTGTCGGTCAGTCAGCTCTTGTATCTCTGACACGCAGGTTCCTACAAATACCTTGTATCTGCAAGAGTCTGATTGGAGCCACTCCAGTACTGTAGTGGAGTCCGACCACAGGGTTGTCTGCTGGATGGTGAGGGTTGTTTCCGTCTCTATGAGCTTGGACAGTTGAGCTCCAGCTAATGCAGCACAGAGTTCCAAGCGGGGCATAGACTGTTGTCTCTTAGGGGTAACTCTTGACCTAGCCATCACAAAGGTGGAGTGAATGGTGTCTCCGACACAAACTGTGAGGTAAGCTACTGCCCCATATGCCCGTTCGGAGGCATCACAAAAGACATGTAGGTCATACACCATGTTTGTGTCTGCTACAGATACTGGCAAGTAGCAGCGGGGGAATGAAACTTCACTGTGATGTTGCAGCTCATTCTCCCACATCTCCCAGGCATGTTGGAGAGCTGAAGGTAGGTTGGGGTCGTCCCATCCTCTCTGCCTGGACCAGAGCTGCTGGATGAGCACCTTGGTGCGTGTTGTGAATGGCACGATGAACCCCAAAGGGTCATACTGACTGGCCAGTACTTGATATGCTGTTCTCATTGTCAGTGCTGTGTGCTTGATGAGCTGGTACTGGTAGCTAAGAGTGTCAGTGGCACAGTTCCACCTGAGGACTAAGGCAGGCTCCATTGGGTCGGTTCAGTTCTGGCTTAACCACTGTTCTGTAGCTGAAGATCTTGCCCCTGTGGGAAGATGTGCCACCACAGCTGGTTGATTATTTGCCCACTGTCTGAGATCAAACCCTCCTTCAACCAGCAGGCTACGCAGTTGGTTTATTCTCTGTGTGGCAGCAAGTATGGTTGGAAAACTCTCAAGGCAATTGTCCACATAGAAACTTTGTTGCACTGACCGTAGGGTATCAGGATGGCTTTCCTGATGATTACGAATATGCTGTTGCAACGCGAAGATGCAACAACATGGGCTGCTTGTTGTGCCAAATGGCAGCACCTGCCATTCATACACATCCGGTGGGTCTTCACAGCGCAGGTCTCTCCAGATGAACCGAAGAAGTGGTTTGTCTTCAGGCAGCAGACGGACCTGATGAAACATTGCCCGGATATCTCCACTCACAGCTACCTGGTGCTGTCTGAAACGTAGGAGGACACCTAACAATGATGGGCCCAGCGTTGGTCCAGGTAGGAGTTGGTCGTTCATGGAGACACCTTGGTGCCTGAACGAGCAGTTGCAGACCAGTCGTGACTTGTTGTTGTGGCACACCCAGCCTGGATGAGTTTACTGATCTCAGCTGAGTAGATGGCCGCTTTCTCTGGATCCCTTTTGAGCCGCCTCTCTGTGGCCCTCAGGTGAGCTATGACAGCATGTGTGGAACTATTGAGTTTAGGTGCTCCTCTCCTCCTCAAGAGGGGGGTCACATAGCGCTTAACACTGTCAATGTCAACACGCTGTGTTTTCGTTACCAGAACGTCCATGGCTTCCTGATCCTCACGGGAGCGAACAACCATTCTCTCATTCCAAAAGGGCAGAACGTCAAGTTGCCATAACCTTTCGACGTTTCGATACAGAAGGTCTTCAGGGCTAGTGACCGAGGTGAAGAGGCACTGTTGCACTGGGGTCTGTTCTGGTGCACACCCGCCAGTACCTTGCAATGCCCATCCGAGGGCGGTATGGATGGCTATGGGTCCACCATTTGTTCCTCTGCGAACTGGCTTAGTGGCGGTGATAAGATGCACATTATCTGACCCAAGCAACACCAGTGGACGGGCATTGATGACTGCAGTGGGACCCCACGTAGGTGAGCATGCCATCTTTGGAGCGTCTGCACTGGATAGGTCTGCTCCACCAAGTCTAGGCCCGAAGCAGTAAATGCTCCCTGCACCTTGTAGCGCTTCTGTGGGTTTGCTTTGGAGGATATTTCAAAGCTGACCTTTGACCCCTGTAGGTGTGTGAGATCTGTCCGCACAGTGCGTAGGTCGAGAGTCTCACACTCACCATTCAACTGGAGCTGCTCGACCACAGTTGGTAGAATGATGGTCCGTTGTGCTCCATCATCTAGGATGGCGAAGGTCTCCATTGACCTAGAATTGTTATGCAGCCGGAC